TTTGTATGTGTACACACTTCGGTGTACTGTTTTTTATCAATATGGAAAATAAAGAAAAATAATTATTTTCTATCGAGCTAAATACTAGCTAGTGCTCATTGCACTGTGACAACAATGAGACTTTTGGATATATATTGTAGAAGGAAAAGATACATGAGTGCCCATCTTAACTGCAGCTAACTATAGCTTTACTATTCAGATAGATCAACTGAGGTCTTAACCCAGAGTGGCCAGGCTCTAGACATCACTTATGTGATACACCACCACTGGTGATTCTGAACAGAGGAAGCAAATAAAGAGGTTCCTGAGTGTCACACATGGATACTTCCAGGCGAAAATCACATAAGGAATGACCATGGATCGATTTCTCCAAGCCCTCCCTCCTGGAAAAAGAGGAAAATGTGAATATCCCACAAAAAAAGGACACTGACTGATCTGATGAAGGCCATTCGATCCTTTGAGAGCTGGGGCAGGTTACCCACAAAGGGCAGTGGTTTGGGTCCAGGGGGGCTTCGGCTCCTGGAGGAGTTCAAAATGAAGATCTCCAGGAGAAGCAGAGAGAGCAGACCACCAAGCAGGGCCAAGCCCACTGACGTCCAGTCCAGATATTTCATCACAGACTCCATTCTGAGAGAAATGCAGGAGAGCAAAGTTGCATACCTTTTCACCAACAGTTCAAGGAGGAGGGGGTGAGAGAGAGACCACCATTTCTATAGAATAGCGTCATGATGGGCATTACTAGGGAGATGTTTATACCGGAAAATAGATCTTGTAATCTTACCTGTTAGGAGGTCAGAGATCTTCCAGTTTGGTAAAGCACTGCAGACAAAGTTCAGGAGCAAACAAAACATTTGCAACTGATGCAACGTCAGGAACTTCTCTGCATACAGAGACTGACAACAGAGTTCTCTTACAGTCTAGAACAGTGGTTCTCATACTGGTTCTCAAAGCTCCCCAGACAGTCCATATTTTTGCTTTATTCCTATGCATTGCAAGTTAAGTTGGAGCAAAAGTGTGGACCGTATGGAGGAACCTGAAGTTTGAAAACCACTATTCTAGAAAATAAAGGTTTGTACAAGATTCTTGAACATATGTAAGTAAAATGTTTGATTGGTGTAGAACTCCACATATGTGGAGGTTCTTTAAACTTGAGTTTAATGTTCTTCAGTCCACCAATTTTTCTAAGTGGCTTATAATTCAGTCGTTGAGATGTCGTTGAGATTTCTTTTCAGTGCTGGTGATAGGAAATAGTGCAAATAAAGCCATTTTATTAATATCCACAATTAATATCCAAGTCTTCTGACTTTTCTGTCTTCTGCGGTGTAAATGGCAATAAAGGCATCTTGATTGATTGATTAAATGACTGATTGATTAACCGAATGACTATGATCAATTAAAACTTTGAGTTGTTATATAAATTGTTAATAGTAGTAAATCTGGAGAAAATAAGCTTTATTTAGGAACCATTTTACCTTACCTGCATGTACCTTCCCACCATGAATGGATTTTAAAAAGTAAAACTTGCTTGACCACATAGAAATGCCAGGTGGAAGCAGGCAGTACATGCAAGAATATCCTCAATATTTTTACAGGTGAGAGAGATCTTTAAGAAAAGAGGGCAAAAATTCCTACAAGTTGATCTAGAGACTACACAAGGCAGCAGCACCATTGTAAGTACCACTGTAGACATACACATTTCAGATTTTTCCTTTTACCCAATTTAGTTGTGGCCAATTCCCATCCAATATCACACAATGATATATGATATCATCAATGATAATGCAACATCTTTGGACAGCTCAACATATTACAGGAGAATTACCAATTCTATTGCACCAGCTAACAGATGGCAGCATTGGCTAGCATCATGCTGAGTGATGGGGAGAGGGAGAAACATCCCATCCACCTAGAGAGGGAGACAACAGGGCCAATACTTGGACAGATGCACCCCTTGGATATATATTGTTGAAATCATTGAAGTGAAGGTTCTCAGACTAATATCAAATAATCTGTTTTATTGACAGGAAACAAATGTGTGAAACTTAAGCAACCTAGCAAAGGCTAGGATAAAAATTTATCCCAGCATTTAAAATTTTTGATTTCTGAAAGAACATTAGTAATTACACTAGAAAAAAACAAAACAAAAAAACATACACTACATAAAATGTATGCAACCATTATTTATGTATTATAGAAACAGAACACATTTTAAACTGTAAGACCTCTGTAATGTATAATGGATAAAAAACCTAAGTATTGTGATAATTATGCATAATTATGTACTAAGCAAGAGCTTAATCTTATTAAGATTGATTAGATGCGTTAGAGAAGAAGAAGTCCTCCAAGTCTGGTACTGAAAGTTCACCCCCAGACTCACCCAGACAAAAGTTTGGGCACCCCTAGTTGATGTTAAGATGTTATCACATCCTCTGCATGTAACAAATCTGACATATTTCTGAACAATTTTAAAGCACAGATAACACATATTTGCTGATTCCAACATATTGGAAAAGAAGAAAATATAACATGTGGCATGTGTGAAAGTCTGGGCTCCCTTCCAGTTGGTGTCCTGCGTCCAATTAGTTCTCTAGCCAGCTAACAGTCTTTCTATTCTTGCTATTCTTTTACTCTTGCTTTTTTATGTGCAGGTTGTTCTAGTTCAGAAGTATTCCTAACACTGAATGCTGTTTCAAAACTTTAATCTTTAGTTTCTTGAAGTACCTCCCACTTTTTTTTTTAAGAACCCTTCCCCTACTTTGCCTTACCTTTATTCCTGCTGTAACGTGACAGAACAGGAAGAACAATTGCGAGTAAATTTAGGAAATGAGGCTTTATTTGTTTGAATGTTGTCAAATGAGCCGAATACAAAAAGGGAAAAACATAACAATGACATGAACAGGCAAAGAGGATCCAAAAGGTAAAGGCAAAATGGCAAAGTCCAAAAAAACACAGCCAGATCCACAAGAAAACAAAAAAAACTGAATGAAGCACTTAGTAGCTCTACTGGGAGAAGCAATACCTCCTGATGAGCTAGACTAAAGCCCAGGCTTATAAACAAATCTAGTCATCTAGTTACATGACAAACAAGACACGTGAAACAGATCAGTTTTCAGCTAATAGGGAGTGACGACTAGTGGATGGTGGTGGCACCACAGTCACATGATCTCCCAGGGAGCTCCGGGAAATGGAGTTCATGAATGAGTCAGAGACGAAGGGATGCGTGATACCTGTAACCTTTCCTGTGCCACTGGCTGCAACGCATAAAGGATAATTCCACCAATTTTCTTCAATATTTCTGCATAATGTTTGAGATATAAACAGATATTCAGACTGGTTTGGTGTGAAATTCTCCATTCTATAGAAACAGTCTGTTCGCAGGGGTGGTGATAGGAAGCAAATGTCTGATGAAGTTCATACCTACGAATCTGACTAATTTCAGGAAGGCCATGGGATCTTTCATGAGATAGGGCACATTTTCGATGAAAGGCTACAGCTCCTGTGGGCAAGGGGCATGGGGGTGGGGGCAGAGTGCAGGTGTTGACCCTTCAGATCAGGAGTTCAGCTCAAAGTCTTGTTCAATCTCAATTTGAAGTAAAAAAAAAACCTCTGAGTCTTAGCAGTTTTTCTATATGGGAAAAATGAATGGCATGAAACTGCCAATATCAGAATTATACAATATTGCCACATGCATATATAGCAATATTGTATAATATATATGGTGTTATACAACAAAACAATACAGGCAGGGTTAAGTGATTAAGTGACCCTTATTAGTCCCACAATGGGGAAATTTCACCTCCGCAATCCTATCCATGCAGTGAAACACCACATGCACACTAGTGAACACACACACTAGAGGGCAGTGAGCACACTTGCCCAGAGCGGTGGGCAGCCCTATCCACAGCGCACAGGGAGCAGTTGTGGTTTAGGTGTCTTGCTCAAGGGCACCTCAGTCATGTACTGTCGGCTCAGGGGATTGAACCAGTGACCTTCCAGTCACAAGGCTGGTTCTCTAACCTCCAGCCCATGACTGCCCCCTGGTTCAATAAAAGCATAGACGGCTTTCTTTTTTAAATCTTGTGGAGGTAAAATGATTTGGTTTTCGTTCTGAGCTGCTCTCTGTTTTTGCATTCATTTGCTTTTCAAACTTTAGCTGTGAGTCAAAAATAATCCTTAGATTTTGAACAGTTGGTCCAGAGATGGGGCAGGAGAGAGCTGAAAAGTGGCCAAAAAAAAAAAATCTTACACACATAAGAAGCATTTTCAGTCTTAATATGGAGGTTTACAGATGGACTTAAAACCAGCATTTTTCAGCGTTTTTTTTAATGACTCGATTTTATTACCATTAATTAATAGATGCCTCCAAATAAAAATGGTTTAGGTTCTCCTCAATAAAAAGGAATTAGGTGTAAATGAGTTTTTTTTTTTTTTAGTGCTAAATAAATGGCTAGCAGGCACCTTCAAGCTGATCTCAAACCAGTTTTATGCATCTTATTTATATTAAGTTCTTATGCTTATTTCTGTTCAGCTGAATTTACATACACAAATCTTAGGCTGGTGCATGTTAAACTGCTTGATCAGACTGAAAACACAACAGCACCCTCCAGTGGAGGACTGTGGAAATGTTTCACTGATTTGATTCCAGAGGAGGTTAAGGTAATGTGTTTATTTCCAGTGTGGAAATGAACAAATGGGCCCCCACGGATTTATTCGATTAATAAATAACGCAAGTAATCCAATGATTTATATGTTAGGCATGTCAGGCAAATATGTATCATCATATTTATTTGGTGAGTGCAGGTACTCTTCTCCGCTTTCATGTGGCTTTTTTGCTTTTAGTAATCTGCTGAGCTACTAAATATGAAGCCCTCAGGATTTTCCTAAGACCTTTCGGTCAGATTCACTTTAATTATTGTAAGTTGTCTAGACGACCACCTGAAAACCAACTGAAACACCACAGTAATGATCAATCAGCAATCAATTTAACAGGGTGAGGATAATTCCATTATATGAACGGCTATTTTATTACCAACACTCTTCTGATTGTAACAGCATTGTTGCCTGATTCTTACCTACATTGTGAGAGGACTTACATTGTATCTGCACAGGAAATGCCAACTAGCATAACATGTAGCTCGCTGTAGTAATATGCCAGTAAAAAAAGCAGTTCAGCCTATTACACATGTGTAATAACATAAAAAAGTGCTGATACAGTTATGAAGATACACTTGTGTAATTACATGAGTAGAAACTGAAGTTGAAATGCATGTGTATTTACATAAGCTGTAGTACTGTAATCCATCTGTAATTGTGAATTCATTAGTACCAGTTACAGTGTTGTTGCATGTATTATTAATTGATAACACGGTTATTATAAGCATTCAATAAAGTGAGACCAACCGGTCTGTGTTGGGAAATCGCCAGTATTGCACCCTGTGATAAACAAAAATGATAAACAAAAACTTGTTTTGCGTACACACATTTTCCCCCCTGATTGTCACTCTATTCTCTGAATTACACAGTCATTAAAGAGTCATTACACAATAAAAGAGTCATTACACAATATTGCTACATGCATGCTGAAACTGCTACACACTGCAAAATACAACAAAACAACTCAGGCAGGGTGAAATAAAAGAAAAGATGTCTTTCTTTTTTAAATCCTGTGGAGGTGAGAAATGATTTAGTTTTGGGACATGATCCAAGCTGCTGTCATTAACTGCATTCATTTGAATTTCAAACTTCAGCTCTAATCTTTGGATTTCACTCATTAAAGCTGTGGTTTCAGTAACACTTTAGTGTAGGAGGACATTATAAGGGTCTTTAAGCCTTATCAAGTGAGTAGCTGCTAATTAGCTGTCTGCTTACGGCTACTTCATTAAGCAGTAAATAGATTGAATGAAGCACTTTTTAGAACATTTATATTCATGTATTATACATTTTAAGCTTGTGCACATTATTTTAGACATCCATTATTTTGCCTTTATTAAGCCTTAGATGCAAGAATCTGGTCATTCAATATCTGCTAATGACCTGGCTAATATTTTTAGTAGTCATGATAGTAGTAATGAAAGTAGTAAATCACTTTATTGAGCAGAAACTATGATCAATTAAACATTTTATGAAGCACTTTATTGTATTTTACACATTAAATATTTTTCCCAACCTTTAACTGTGAACTACTGTCTATAAGGGGCTTATGCAGAATCTTAAATATATCTTTTCCATTTGTCTTGTCAGAACTCATCTCTGTTTTTTTAATCAAAATTTAAACTCAGACGTTTGAGCTGCAATATAATATTATAGAACTGGCCTTTTTCCCCTCAACATTCCTTTTAAACCATATAAGTCCTTTGTTTTGGTGGAATATCATATGTTGTACATTTACCCCTGATTGGTCCTCGTAGAAAGATAGAGCTTGATAATGTTTTGTTATTGAGATTGATTAGATGTGTTAAAGAAGGGGAACTTCTCCTGGGTGATGTTGTCCATTCACATGTAAAGGGCAAACTTGATTCAGTGAGTGGTCTCTCTGCTGCGGCAGATGGTATTGAAGGGGAATGGAGAACGAACCACGCCCACAATGCCATCCATGTTTGGGCGTGAAGCTCCAGCAGGCCATGAGAACTTCAAGCGTTGGAGCAGAGAGGTGAAGAAGATGAAGAGCTCCATCTTTGCCAGAGACTCACCCAGACACACCCTTGGACCTGCAGGACATGCATAAGCACAAATCATCTCAATGCTCGATTGGTTAATTAGCAGAATCAGCTGTCTTTCTGGTGGACCAATGATGTTTTGGGCCGGTTACTGTGGGCTTACATATACAGTGGTCACAAAAATTATTTGGACACTTAAACCACTGGTGAAATTTAATGATGTTTTCTAGGTTTCTTTAAAAAAGAATGATATTTGTTTCAGAGAAAAAAGAAGTTTTAGCACAAAATCAAACTGATTGTAGCCTCTTTGTGTAAAGAAAGCCTGGAGAAGAATTCCAGACAGACTGCACTAAGAGTTTGTCCCAATGAACATTCCAAAACAAGTTTTGACCTGAATGGGAACCAATGGGACTAAATTATGTCACTATGCCAAAGTATTGTGCAAAGTAATAATTCTACAAGAAAAAAAAAAGCAATTCACACATCAACATACCACTCTACCTTACATTCTGGTGTGCTTGCAGGTGACATAATTGTGCTTGGTGACTTTATTTTCACCTGTAAAGAGTTCACTAAATTGACATTGGCATCAGTTGCAAAGTGTAACCAAGGGCAGAGGAAAACACCCCTTGTGTACAATTAGGTCCTTTTGGTACCAAAAAAAAAAAAACACTGGAACCTGTTTAATGAAATAGCACAGTTCCAGTTTTATGCTGTCAAAAGGTTCTGTTAATCTCCACGAGGTGGAGATGTCAAATCTGGGGCTGCTTATCTTTCTGTGATGTCAGTGATGGGATCAACTCAGAAGTGAACAAAGGCATTTGCATTGCAAATCTGCAGAGAAAATATAGACCACACGGTAAACAGAGAGCTTTGCTTTATGGCTCAGTTCCCTCTTCACCACTACAATCTGCTAAATTAACCACAATACTGCTGCCGCCTGACCCAGCCTGCGGCTGATCTCACGATCCTTCTTCCCATCACTCGTGAACGACACCTGGAGATACTCAAACTCCTCCACCTGTGGCATGTCCTTTCCCTTTACCTGGAGTGGGCATGCCATCCTTTTCCAGGCTAGGACTCAGACTTGGAGGATCGCAGCAGACTCACCCAAAGAGAATGGCAGAAAGGCATCATTTCTGCAGAACTGTCCTTTTTCATCCAGAAAGTTCTCTGGGTTGAACGTGTCTGGATACTTCCAGTGCTGTTTGTCAGTTAAGATGGCCTTTAAGTTGACCATGATTGTAGATCCCTGCCATGGGAAAGAGAAACAAATAACACATGTATTAATGTCAATTAAATGTCTTGAACAGTGGAGGTGCACTCAAAGTTTTCATTGAGAAAAGAGACTGATATAAATAAATATAAATAGCTATGCAACTTGTGAAATATGCAAGATGGCAAAAAATTCTAAAGACGTGCAATAACATTTCAATAAGTCTTGCCCAGATCATCTGAAAACTTGTATTAATTCGTTGCATTTGTATTAATTTCTCTATTTTGCATTTGTAAGCTTCATCTTGTTTTCAAGCCACAAAAAATATTATCTTTTTATAGTTTAATTGACTTTGTTTCTTGGCAAAGCCTGTTCTCATAACCCTGTTTCTGTGGTTAAGCATCCATTCATACTTCCATTACTTCATACTTCCATTGATTCAGTCTCCCATCCATTAAGAGATCCATACATTCAGCCTGTCATACATTCAAATGTCTATCCATTCAGCCTGTCATGTATTCAGTCCACAATCCCTCTATCCCTTCATCACCTTGGGCAGGTGGTATCCTCTTAGCTGTGCTGGTTCAGTGGTTTGGTGAATCAGGCCAAGAGGAGTGATGCTAGCACAGCGCTGGATCTCATAAACAGTGGCGTAAGTGTACGGGAGCTGTGGGCGGTCTTCCATGCAAGGAGAGCGGTCAAAACCCAGTACCCGAACGATCTCCTCATGGCAGCGCTCTGACATGGTCACATTACACAAGCATGGAAAATAAAAGATGCTACAGGACATACAAGACATAACAGTGTTCTAATAAACAAAAATATCAACTGAAAATATGAAGTAACAAAAGGAATAACATGCCTTATACCAAACCTAGTGTAAAAATGAGATCAGGTCAATGGTGACCAACAATAGTACCTTGGACGTCAGGGTGGTCCATCATGTAAATGAGGCCCCATCTGAGGGTGGTCGCTGTAGTTTCTGTTCCAGCTACGAACAGGTCGAGGACTGACTTCATCATGTTCTCCACATGGAATGTAGAGTCTTCCTTTGCCTCTTGCTGCTCAACAAAAGAAAAGTTTAAACTCTGTTACTCAGAGCTACCAAAGGATACTGAAGGCTGCTCAAATGATTGATTTAGTATAATCTACAGTAGAAAACTTCAACTCCGCTGTCCCACATTGTCAACCTGAAAATAATGCATGTAGAAAATACTCCACACCAGTCGTCTCAGTGCACAGATAACTAGGCCTACTGGATGAGTTACTGTAAAGTGCAGTTAGGGTCTCTCCATTCTCTACACTGCACTCAAAAGAAAGAGCATCTCACCTTGGTCATCTGGATCAGGTAAGCATCAGTGAAGTCACGGGGGTTGTCTGCATCCAGAGTCTTCTTGTGCTCCTCCACAATTTCAAGGATAAATATTTTTAAAGCTTCGAAATTATTCCATATCTTCTGTTGCGGCCCTGGAAAGTATTTTATAATCGGGACCAAGTTGAAGATCTGAAGAAAAAAAGGAACAATTGATGTTACATTTCATCCTTTAAGTTTAAGCACTTTAAGCGCATAATGACAGGATTTTTTTTTGTTATTGTGTAATTTCATTGTATGTATATACCAGGAAAAAGACCTGGAATTAATTTAGAAGATAAATTATATTGTTTTGTTCTCTAGTGGTTTTTCTACATGATCTGTGAAAATGAACGACATCACTTGGAAAGGTCCTGGTAATTACCTGCACCACAGGTGTTCCCCCAAGCTGAAAGTTTTCATTCAGAATTTCTAGCAGCTTAGCAAAGCGCTTGTCGTTGTACTCAAAGCGGTCTCCAAAGATGATGGAGCAGATTATGTTGGAAACGGCATTCATAAATTGGTGGATGGGATAAAAAGGCTTCCCTTCAAGAAGAATTGCAGAATAGTATGTTTCATTAAAGAAAAGACATAGAGACAGAACAATGACCATATGAAATTTTTTGTTAAATGTCATATAAATGAAAAAAGGCCTCTTGTCTTACTATCAGTAGGACATTTAAAATATTCATCAGATTCAGTATTACTGAACTACAGTGTAGTGGTCTGATGGGCAAGATTGAGCTCATTAAACAGTACCTTGTCCATGTTGATTTGAATAAATATTCATTCAAACTCTCATTAGTCAGTAATTTACTCTAAAACAAACTATTGACTAAAACTACTGAAATAAATACTAATTTCATATGACAGAAAACACAATGCATTAATTCTAGTGCTGCTCCCTGCCATTGTAGTTGTACATTAGAAAAAGATAACCTGACCACAGAACTGTGCCACAGGCATAGACAGTGACTCATCACCTACCTTCCTGTTTGAGCATCTCCTTGATGAGGTAATGCGCCTCCTCAGCCACGCGCTCCTCCACAGTTTTCCTTCCCAGACCAAAGTCACGCAGCGTGTGCAGAGCAAAGCGGCGCTGCTGCCTCCAAGAGTGACCATAATTGGCTGCAATAATACCTGAGAAAGGCAGAGAGAGGTTAAAGGAGATAATAAGACAGAGGATGTATCTTTCCCTGGAGAAGGAATAGCACACATTTTTTTTTCATTTTTATCAAAAAATAAAGTACAAGTAGTAGTACATGTATATCAAACAAGTATATCAACATGAGTCATGCCGTACTAACCATAGCCTTTGGTGATCCACTCTATTAAAGGTGGAAGAGGCCTCCCAGAAAACACGGTCCCATTCTCAACAAAAGCTTCCTTTGCAAGCTGCATGTTGTTCAGTATAATCGTTGGCTTCCTGCCCAGGTATATGGAGCACATCTCACCATATTTCGGCAACTAAAGGGGTGGAAAATGTTTACATTACCTACAGCTTTGGAGCGGACAAGTGTATGTATTGATGCAACTCTTTCCACATTTGGTTGCAGATGTGTTATCAGTGAATTCAAGTCTTTTCACAGTTCATCAGCTTACCCTGTTCTAATAAATCTGAATCAATTCATGACAGTTTTGATTAATTAGTTTAAATTTATGGCATTAAGTAGATCCAGTTATCCATAGCAACTTACAGAGGTGCTTTGTTTTTCACTTACAGAATGTTTCCTTAGATGCTAAAAATAGGAGTCCAAAAACACCTTTAAACTAAGGTACTGCTTGGAATGAGATCTGTTACCTAGACAAAGATACATGATACAGAAATAAGGCATTTCCTCTGCAATACAAGGGAATTTTAGAAGTTCAAATAGGTGGTTATTTAATGCTGTACAAAGAGACGAATCTTCATTCAGTATTTGGAGACAGCGAGGGACAGCCAGGCGAAGCTCGTTCCACCACATGAGTTGCCTGGACACAGAAGGGCCTTATAGCTTGTCCTCCAAGCATGTTTAAGTATAGCAAGACAAGCCAAGCCATACTTGATTCTCAAAGGGCATAAGCTATGGTTTCAGTTTTGACTTCACTGCAAAAATAATATCTTAGTGAGTGTAAACATCTTTAATGTAGTCAATATCTAATGTTTCTCATTACGAGACTGTTGTAAGAATATTGTAATTATTTAACTTATTTTCAGACATTTTGTACTTACTTTTAAGCAGTTTTATCTCATAAAAGTGTCTTGTTCAATTGGCAGATCATGTTCCTTGTTTTACAACACCAGCATCATCAAGTTTGCTGATGATACTACAGTCATTGGACTGATCACTGGTGGGGACGAGACAGTGTACAGGAAGGAGGTGGCTGAGCTGGTGGCCTGGTGTCATGACAACAATCTTTCCTTGAATGCAGACAAGACCAAGGAAATGTATGTTGATCCAAGGAGGAAGCGGGAGCACCGCCGCCTTTGTTCTTCCTCGATCCTGCCGTACGGTCCCCGCGGTGGACGGAGTGCATTTCTAAGTGTATCCCTGAGTCTGGCGTGCTGTCCAACAGGCAGGTTTCCGTGAAAATAAGAGCCCAGCACTCTCTGATTTCACGCTGAGTTGTTATTCTGGTTCTCAGCTCATCCAGCTTGTTTTCGAGGAAGTGAACATTAGCTAGCAACAGGCTAGGTAGCGGTGGCCGCATAGCCCTTGCCTTTAGCCTAGCATGTAGCCCACCTCTCTTGCCCCACTTCCGCTTTGGCTGCTCTGTTCGCCGGCGCGCCGCTCACCCGAGGCCGGTGCTGCTGGGCCTTGCCGGCTGCTGCTGGTGGAGTATGAGCGTAAAAGAAAGTTGAAGTCAGAAAGGCTAAAGGTAAGTTCATGACGAACTTTACCGATCTCCAGGAGTGCCTCTCTACTGTAACTGTTTCTTAGTATACTGTACATTTAAAATAAATACTAAAGTTAAAATAAATAATAAATAGTGTTGGTTGCAGGAGGAACACACAAAGACATCTGCCACGGTGGGCGCCATCTTGTTTCTCAATAATCTCATAATAATCTTACAACAGTCTCATAAGGAGAAATATTAGAGTTATTGACTAGATTTAAGATTTTTTAGATTTAAGTTTTCACTCGTTAAGATATTGTTTTTAGCAATGTTTAAAAAATCAAGTATTGATGGGCAGGACTGTTTTTGGCTTTGTAGTCAAACCTTGAGATGATAAGATTTTGAACAAGCATCTGAGAGGCCTATGTAGAGAGAAAGTGTAGAAACCTCAAAGTGTTTTAGAGGAGAAACCTGAATGATGGAGTCAGGTTTGCAATATGAGCAATGAATGGCCATCTACAATTACACCAAGGCTTTGTGCATCTTCAGATGGAATGACCAATAAATGCTCAAAGGAGATGGCAAGATCACAGGACCCAGGGATGTATAGCAGCTTCTTGCTGGAATTTACTTTCAGATGGTGAACTGCAATCCATGACTAGATGTCAGGCAGACATGCCTATATGCAACTATAAACCTAAGTGTCAGAAGGTGGAAAGGAATAGTTGAGTGTCATCACAGCGGTGGCATGAGATGCCATTGACAGGATGTTACATTGCTAAAATAGCAAGCGTAAAAGAAAGAGAAGAGCACCCAGCACAAATCAAATCTTATTGGATCTTATGACTGACTGTGTCAAAGGCTGCAAAGATCAAAAAGAATCAGGACTGTTGAGAGTTTAACTTTGTATAAACTGATACCTTATCTTAACTTTTCATATGAATATGAGACTTACAGAGTTGAATATGGCTCAATTGCCTTAGTCCTGTAGCCATGAATTAGCTTATACACACCCTAGACAGGGCCAGCCTCAGCTAAAAGAGCTGTTGAGATCCTGAATCAGAGCACAAATCACTGTCAAGAGAGATCTTTTACAGTGTTATGCAACTGAAGAATACTATGCAATAGTCCTTATTATACTGGGAGCTCTCTGACCTCCTAACAGGTAAGATTACAAGACATATTTTGAAGATAGACAGGCTGGGATCTTTGAGCTTGTTATGAGTGGTTATGGGTATGGGTTATTATTGTTATTGTTATTATTATTATTATTGTTATTGTTATGGGTACCACTCTGGTAGTCTAGATGGCAGATGGTTGCCAACTTAATGACAAGAAACTGTTTGTATTGGAAGTGATTAGGAGTAACAGACTGCAAGATTTCACGCATTTGGAGCGATGTGTATTGTGGTCAGGTGTTTGGATGATTGGATGTCGGTAGCTGTAGGATGCTGTCTGTGGAAACTAGGTTGAACCAAGTGTGTTACAGCAGAATCCAGATCCTTGAATCTATATAATATAACTTTGTAGAAACCTGATACCTTTTCTTAGCTTTTCACATAAATTTGAGACTTACAGAGTTGAATACGGCTCTTTTACCTTACTCCTGTAAACATGAATTAACTTTTACACAGAGTCCTAAGTCATGTGGTTTCATAGTTGTGTCTGAGCCAGAGGGATGCGTGACACTGTCACAGTGATATGGAGAGAAGGCTGCATTACTTCTCCATGTGGAAGTTATTAATTCTCTTGTACAAAGGTCTATGGAGCCACGTTGAGCACATCAGGATAAGTAGTGGAAGAAAGGTAACAATTGGTTACATGAACTATGGTGAACTTGCATGTGTTGCATGTTAAAATGCAGAATGCAAACTAGGGAAGCCCAGCACTAACATCTGGCAGACACAACAACAGTTTTCTACACACTCCAAGGACCCATAGTAAATTTTCACGGCTATATTTTATTACAGTTTTTTCAGCTTAAAAGTGAGTTTCAAAAAGAGAAAAAAAAGGATCAGTCTGATGTATAAAAGGAAACTGACCGATTTGATGAAGGCCATTCGATCCTTTGAAAACTGGGGCAGGTTACCCACAAAGGGCAGTGGTTTGGGTCCAGGGGGGCTTCGGCTCCTGGAGGAATTCCACCTGAAGATCTCCAGGAGAAGCAGAGAGAGCAGACCACCCAGCAGGGCCAAGCCCACTGATGTCCAGTCCAGATATTTCAGCACAGACTCCATAATGAGCGAAGTGCAGAAGAGCACAGTTGCTCATACCTTTATACCAGAAGTGGAGTGGGCAGAGAGAGAGAGAGAGAGAGAGAGAGAGAGAGAGAGAAACAAACAAACACTCAAACATTTTTTTCACGTTTTCCATAGAATTGCGTCACAATGGGCGAGACTAGAGAGAAGTTCATACCAGAAAATATGTCTTGTAATCTTACCTGATAGGAGGTCAGAGAGCTTCCAGCGTAATAAGGCACTGCACACAAAGTTCAGGAACAAACAAAGCATTTGCAGCTGTTGGAACATCGTCAACTTCTCTGCAAACAGACACTGATAACTGAGTTACCTGCTCCCCTATACTCTAGAACAGTGGTTGTCATATTGGTTGTCTCCCCAGACAGTCCAGATTTTTGCTGTCATTGCAAGTTGGAGTAAAAATTGAGAAAATAAAGGTTTCTAAATAATTCTTGAAGATGTGTAAGCAAAATGTTTAATTGGCGTAGAACCTTTAGATTATGTGGAGGTTCTTTAACCATAAAAAAATGTTCTTAACTCCACCAAATTTACAAAGTTGCTTACAATTCAGTTGTTGAGATGTCGTTTATATTTCTTCATTGTAGTGGTGAAAGGAACCAGGGGTCACAACATCTACAGTGCAAATATCGCTATTTTATTAACATCCACATTGACCACTGATCTTACAGGTCTTCTGACTTTTCTGTCTTCTGCTGTGTAAATGTCAATAAAGGCATCTTGATTCATTGACCAATTGACTGATTGATTAACTGATTTATTTCTTGCATAAATGTTTAAATAGAAGTAAATCTGAAAAAAAAAAAGAAAGTTTTCTTTAGGGACTATTTTATCTTATAATAATCTGCACATACCTTTCCACCATAAATGGTGTATGTAAAGTAGTTTTTTTTTAAACATCCAGTGCTAAACAAATTGCTAGCAGGCACCTTTAAGCTGATCTCAGACCAGATTTATGTATCATATTTACATTAAGCTCTAATTCTTATTTTTGTCCATGTGAGTTTAAATACTCAAATCTTACACTGGTGCAGGTTAAACTGCTTCTAAATCAGACTGAAAGCATGACAGCCCCCTCCAGTGGGGGACTGTGGAAATGTTCCACTGGCTTGATTCCAGAGGAGGTTAAGGTAATGTAAGATTTTTCAAACATTATGCAGCCAGGGACCCCTAGCAATGTGGAAATAAAACTCATGGACCCCCACAGATTTATTCTATTAATAGAAAATCCAAAAAATCCAATGATTTAAATATTAAGCACATCAGGCAAATATGTACCATCATATTTATTTGGTGAGAGCAGGGTACTCTTCTCCAGTTTCATGTGGCTTTTTTGCCTTTAGCAACCTGCTGAGCTACTAAATTCCATGCCCTCAGAGTTATACTCAAAAGTTGTGTCCAGACTCAATTTAAATATTTTAAACTGGCTTCTAAACCACCTGAGAAGCACCTGAAACACTACAGTAATAATCAATCAGCAGTCAATGTAACTGGGAGAGGTTAATTACCAGGGGTGGCAAGTAATGAAGCACAAGTACATTGTTACAGTTCTTAAATATTTTTTGAGGAATTTATACTTTACTTCAGTAATTCTGTCACTTAATACTTTTTACTTTTACTCCATTTTGAAAGAAAAATCTGTGCTTTTTACTCACTACATTTTCAAAACAGGCTTATTACTTTAGTTTTAATGATCAATATATCTATTTAATGTCTGTACTTATTTTTTTTTAAATAAGCAATTGTATAAGGGCATCTAATTAAGCACAAATCAGCTCCCTACTGGATGTGAAGCTGGGGAAGGGGGAGGAAGAGCAGAGTGAACCCTTTACTGGCTACTTCACGGCTTGCAGGCCCAGCAGTTAAAAGGAAGAAAAATAAACACAGTCGAATCCACAGAAGGTGACAGCGTCTAGCCAGCCAGCCCTCCCGTCTCAATTAATACAGCCCCGGTTTACTTACTGTAACTGAGACTCGTACAGAGGATAGAGACTAGATGAAGCTGAAGTTAGCTTTATTTCCAGTTCCACCTTAAATGATGCCTGTATTACTTCAATTACTTTAATGCATTGAGTCATTACAGGTAAGACATAAATAAACCATAAACGTGTTTCAGGCCTGCTGTGGCAATATGCTTTAGCCTACAATGATTAGGTTTAAGTCTTTAAGGTTGTTTTATTCTTTCTCGTCTTCACACATCAGCTGGTTGATTTAACTTTCATGTTGTCTTCATTTGGAGCAGCACGGTGGCACAGTGTCACCTCACAGTGAGAAGAGCCTGGGTCCGATTCCAGGGTCCTTTCTGTGTGGGGATTGTTCTGCATAGGTTTCCTCCCACAGTCCAAAGACATGCAGTCAGGCTAATTGGACACACTAAATTGCCCCTAGGTGTGTGAATGTATGTGTCTGTCTGTCTGCCCTGCGATGGATTGGTGACCTGTTCAGGGTGTATCCTGCCTTCCACCCACTGACCACTGGGATAGGCTCCAGCTCCCCCCATGACCCAGAAGGATAAGCGGCTTAGAAAATCTGTGTGTGTGTGTGTGTGTGTGTATGTGTGTTGTCTTCATTTGGGTCTGCCTGGTGTTGCAGTAACCTGTGACTGTGGTTTCTTTAATTATCAGGTTTTAAGTTTGTACATCTTTAAATTTGTGGCTGTAACATTAAAATCTGACAGCTGGGATGTACAAACTTTTTAAAAGTTTTTAATTTGTCATCTTCTCTGTGTCAAAGTTGTGTTTGTGCTGAGTGGAACGTGCTGTGTGTTGGTTGTTTGTGTAAATCCAGATTTCTGATTGGTTGCTGTTGTTTTGTGTTAGGAGGGAAGTGTTGGAATATGTGGGGTGATGACTGTGCTGACGTGGTGTGTGTAGTAGTGTGAAATTTGAGTGTAAATACCTTTCACATAATAAACCACCCCCTTATCACACACATGCACACACACACACACACACACACACACACGCACACACACACACATGACCTGTAATGTCATTATTTCTGTCACTCTTCACCTGCATTCCCTTCAGCCCAGAACTCTCACTGAGAGACCTGATAACAGAGTTTATTTATTAAAGCTGTGGTTTCAGTAACAATTCATTGTAGGAGACATTATGATAATCTTTTTAAGCCTTATAAAGCCAGTAGCTGCTAATTAACTGGTTGCTTATTACTACTTTATTAACCAATAGCTTTTAAGGTTTTGCATACAATTTTTAGATGTTATTATGTCTTTATTAACCCTTAAAAAGCCAGAATCCAGTAAGCTATCAATTCAATAACTGCTAATTAATTGGCTAATATTTTCAATAGTAATAATAGTAGTAGTAAAAGTAGTAAAATGTACTACTTTATTAGGCAGTAACTACACACAAATTAGATATTTTACAGAAACAATTTTCTTTGTATATTACATGAAATCAAAGTTCCCAACCTTTAATTGATTATTGGGGCCTATAATATGCTCACTTCCTTTTGATTCTTCTGAATACCTCAGTCATAAATCATAAATGTAGAATCTTAAATGTCTTATTCATTTTGCCTTTCACAATTGCATTGTTTTTAAATGAAAACTGAAACTCAAAATTCATTTTGTACTTTATTTGTAGTTTATAGTTTAAGTTTAAATGAAAAACATTCCCAATTTTTAATGTGGTTCCAGATGTTCGGACTCCAGTGTAAGAATAGATTTGGCATTTTTTTTTTTTCATCAACATTCGTTTTAAACAGTATAAGTTATAAGTATAAAAAATAACTATTGCGTCTATTAATAAGGTGGAATGTCCTGTATGGGTACAATCATCCCCAATTAATTGTAGTGTGAAGAAAGAGCTTGATAATGTGTTCTTATTGAGATTGATTAGATGTGTTAAAGAAGAGAGAGTTCTCTTGGGGTGATGTTGTCCATTCACAAGTAAAGGGCAAACTTTATTCAGTGAGTGGTCTCTCTGCTGCAGCAGATGGTATCGAAGGGTTATAGAGAATGAAGCACACCCACAGTGCCGTCCATGTCTTTGCTAGAGTCTCACCCAGACACACCCTCGAACCTGCAGGACACACGTACACACAAATCATCTCAATGCAGGATTGGTCAATCAAAGAATCAGGAGAATTTCCAGTGGGCCAGTAATGTTTTGGGCCGGTTACTGTGGGCTAACATATACAGTGGCCACAAAAAGTGTTTGTACACTTTAACCATTAGTTAAATTTAATGAATTTCTCTAGATTTCTTTCCTTTCTTACATTTAACATAACCATGCTTGTTTCAGAGAAAAAGAGTTTTAGCGCAACATCAAACTGATGGTAGACTCCTTTGTGTAGAGAAAGATTGGAGAAGAATTCCAGCCTAAATTCATTAACAGTGTTTTTCCAATGAACATTCAAAAACACATACTGGCCTGAATGGGAACCAATGGGACAAAATTATGACACCAAATTCTTTACAAAGTAACAACTCTAAAAAAAAAAAGCAATTCACACCCAGCGTACCATTCTACTTTACACTCTGGAGAGCTTATTGGTGACACAATTGTGCTTGTAAAGAATTCAATAAATGGACATTGGCTTCAATTGCAAAGTGTTACCAAGGACAGAGGACAACACCCACCATTAGGGACTCTAGGTACCAATCATTAACAGGTACCAAGAAAAAAACAAAAAAAACTGGAACCTGTCTAAAGGAAAAAGACAGTTACAGTTTTCTGCTGCCAAAGGTTCTGGTAATCTCTGAGAGGTGGAGATGTCAAATCCGAGGATGTTTGTCTTTCAATGATGTCAGTGATGGGATCATTCGGGGCAACTGTATAAACCCACATATATGAACACAATAATGCTCAGACACTGGACTCTTCAAATGTAGTCTGGTTCTATGAGTTTAGGGCTGGTTGACGTATCATGAAGTGTCCTACAGTGTGAAATGTAGACAGGAACTTGAGTAGCTGATGCTTATAGCTTACTGACAATGTTTTTCACTCTCAAAAAACTTGAAAATTTAACACTGTGAAAACAACACTGTAATCCATTTGTAACAGCAATTACATCACCAGTAGTTACACTGTGGTTGCACGTATGGTTAACATTTAACACTAAATTTCTTAGAGACAAATAATACAACTTAAACCAATCAGCAGAATCATTCAGATTTGCTGGACATATTCAAGGCATCATTGCTTTTCCAGTCATGTATTGGCTTCTGTTCAAACCTGAGCCTTTCCAGAACATTTACGCTAATTGTGCTTATCAAGGCTAGTGCAAGTAGATTACCACATCAGTCTTACTGAGACTTCAACTCTGGTGGGTTTTCATACTTCACACCTTCCCATTCAATGACCTATTTTTGGATCCAAAACACTAGAAAGTTTTTGTGTGGAATCTTAAAATTGAATAAATCATTTCTGTTCCCCAGGAGTCTGAATTCGAGTTGAGGCCAGAATCTCTGCAATCAAACATCTTCAGTGTAGTGTTTGCACATCAATTCATACTTTAATTCATGTATTCAGTCAACACTGCCTCTGTCCCTTCATCACCTAGCCCGGGCGGTATCCTCGTAACTGTGCTGGTGTGTGTGGTTTGGTGCACCACACCGAGAGGAACAGTGCTTGCACAGCGCTGGATCTCATAAACAGTGGCGCAAGTATACGAGAACTGTGCATGGTCATCCATGCATTGAGAGTGGTCAAAACCTAGTACCCGAATGATCTCGTCATGACAGCTCTCTGATGTGGTCAACCAGGCACCAACATGGACAAAACACAGTGGACACAAAAAATAGATAATGTTACAGGACATACAAGATATAAGAGTGTTATAATTGTGTCAAGTTTTAATGCAAAAAGATCAACTGAAAAAAAAGTAACAAAAGGAATAATATCTGCTCAAACACACCTAGTGTACAAAAGAAATCAGGTCTGTGGTATTTGTCACCAAAAATAGTACCTTGCACATCAGGGTGGTCCATCATGTAAATGAGGCCCCATCTGAGGGTGGTCGCTGTAGTTTCTGTCCCAGCTATAATTAGGTCAAAGATTGACCTTATCATGTTCTCCACATGGAATGTAGTGTCTTTATTTGACTCTTGCTGCTCAAAACACAAAAAGTTTAAATTCTGTTACACAGATGCTTTAAAAGACAGCTGCTTTTAAAGGCTGCTCAAATGATTGATTCAGTATAATCTACAGTAGAAAACTCAACTCTACTGTTCCCTACATTGTCAACTTGAAGATAATCCATGAAGAAAGTAATCCACTCCAGTCTTCTGAGTGCACAGATTACTACTGTATGAGCAAAAATAAATATAAAATAGGTAGACAGTTAAAATAGGTGGATACTGGACAGTGTGCAGCAGCTAGGGTCCCTGCATTCTCTACACTGTGTCCAAAATAAAGAGCAGCTGACCTTGGTCATCTCAGTCAGGTATGCGTCAGTGAAGTCCCGGGGATTGTCTGGATCCAGAGTCTTCTTTTGCTCCTCCACAATTTGAAGAATACATTTTTTTAGGTCTTGGACATTACGCCAGATTTTCTGCTGCAGCCCAGGAAAGTATTTTATAATAAGGACCAAGTTGAAGACCTGCAGAAAAAAAATGAAATAAAAACATTCATGTTCCATTGCTGCAATTAATTTTGTAGTTTGTTTAAACATGAGCACTTCAATCACATCATCACAGGATTTTTTTCTCATTATGTAATTTCATTTTAACTATATATCCAGGAAACCAGGAAAAAGACCTTGAATTAATTTAGAAGGTAAATTATATTGTTTTGAACTGGTTTTTCTACATAATTTGTGAAAATGAATAACATCACTTGGAAAGCTCCTGGTAATGACCTGTAGTGCAGATGATCCAGTAAACCGAACGTTTTCATTCAGAATTTCTAGCAGCTTAGCAAAGCACTTGCTGTCATACTCGAAGCACACTTGCCCAGAGCAGTGGGCAGCCCTATCCACAGCTCCCAGGGAGCACTTGGGGGTTAGGTGTCTTGCTCAAGGGCACCTCAGTCATGTACTGTCGGCTCAGGGGATCGAACCAGTGACCTTCCGGTCACAAGGCTGATTCCCTAACCTCCAGCCCATGACTGCCCCCTGGTTAAATCTTTTTTAAATCTTGTGGAGGTAAAATGATTTGGTTTTGCCACACGTTCTGAGCTGCTCTCTGTTTTTGCATTCATTTGCTTTTCAAACTTTAGCTGTGAGTCAGAAATAATCCTTAGATTTTGAACAGTTGGTCCAGAGATGGGGCAGGAGAGAGCTGAAAAGTGGCCAAAAAAAAAAAAATCTTACACACATAAGAAGCATTTTCATCTTAATATGGAGGTTTACAGATGGACTTAAAACCAGCATTTTTCAGCGTTTTTTTTAATGACTCGATTTTATTACCATTAATTAATAGATGCCTCCAAATAAAAATGGTTTAAGTTATGTCAATAAAAAGGTAATTAGGTGTAAATGAGTGTTTTTAGTGCTAAATAAATGGCTAGCAGGCACCTTCAAGCTGATCTCAAACCAGTTTTATGCATCTTATTTGTATTAAGTTCTTATGCTTACTTCTGTTCAGCTGAATTTACATACTCAAATCTTAGGCTGGTGCATGTTAAACTGCTTGATCAGACTGAAAACACAACAGCACCCTCCGGTGGAGGACTGTGGAAATGTTTCACTGATTTGATTCCAGAGGAGGTTAAGGTAATGTGTTTATTTCCAGTGTGGAAATGAACAAATGGGCCTCCACAGATTTATTCAATTAATAAATAACCCAAATAGTCCAATGATTTATATGTTACGCACATCAGGCAAATATGTATCATCATATTTGTGACTTGACAACAGGGGTCATTTATTAAAGCTGTGCTTATTCAGGCCAGACATGATGAAATATCATCACAGAACTTATAGCAATTTACATTTGGTGCACCACGCAGAGAGGAACGATACTAGCGTAGCGCTGGATCTCGGTCAAAACCCAGCACTCGAACAATCTCTTCATTACAGCGCTCTGACAGGTGGTTAACCAAGTTCAAAAAAACAGGATACAAAAATAGATGAGGTTACAGGACACACAAGACATAACAGTGGTCTAAACAGGTCATTAACAAATTATTAATACAAACATATCAATTGAAAATGTAAAGTAACACAAGGAATAACAAAAACTTGTTTTGCATACATTTTACCTCTGATCGTCACTCTATTCTCTGAATTACACAGTCATTAGAATCAGAATTATACAATATTGCTACATGCATGCTGAAACTGCTACACACTGCAAAATACAGCAAAACAACACAGGCAGGGTGAAATAAAAGCATAGATGTCTTTCTTTTTTAAATCCTGTGGAGGTGAGAAATGATTTAGTTTTGGCCATGATCCAAGCTGCTGGCATTAATTGCATTCATTTGATTTTCAAACTTTAGCTCTAATCTTTGGATTTCACTCATTAAAGCTGTGGTTTCAGTAACACTTTAGTGTACAAGACATTATAAGGGTCTTATCAAGTGAGTAGCTGCTAATTAACTGTTTGCTTACTGTTACTTTATTAAGCAGTAAATAGACTGAATGAAGCACTTTTTAGATGATTTATATTCCTGTATTATACATTTTAAGCTTTTGCACATTATTTTAAACATCCATTATTTTGCCTTTATTAAGCCTTAAAAGAAGTAATCCAGTAACCTATCAATTCAATATCTGCTAATGACCTGGATAATACTTTTAATAGTCTCAATAGTAGTAGTGAAAGTAGTAAATTACTTTATTAAGCAGAAACTATGATCAATAAAACATTTTATAGCACACTGTTAATTGTATTTTACACATTAAATATTTTTCCCAACCTTCAACTGTGAGCTGATGTCTATAAGGGAGTTATTTTACTTTTGATTCTTCTTAATGCCTCAGTAATAAATCATAAATGCAGAATCTTAAATATATCTTTTCCATTTGTCTTGTCAGAACTTTTTGAATCAAAACTTAAACTCAGACATTTGGGCAGCAATATAATATTATAGAACTGGCCTTTTTTCTCAACATTCCTTTTAAACCATCTAACTCCTTTGTTTTGGTGGAAAACATCATATGTTGTACATTTACCCCTGATTGGTCCTAGTAGAAAGAAAGAGCTTGATAATGTGTTCTTAGTGAGATTGATTAGATGTGTTAAAGAAGGGGAAGTTCTGCTGGGGTGATGTTGTCCATTCACATGTAAAGGGCAAACTTGATTCAGTGGGTGGTCTCTCTGCTGCGGCAGATGGTATCGAAGGGGTATGGAGAACGAACCACGCTTACGATGCCATCCATGTTTGGGCGTGGAGCTCCAGCAGGCCATGAGAACTTTAAGCGCTGGAGCAGAGAGGTGAAGAAGATGAAGAGCTCCATCTTTGCCAGAGACTCACCCAGACACACCCTCGGACCTGCAGGACATGCATAAGCACAAATCATCTCAATGCTGGATTGGTTAATTAGCAGAATCAGCAGACTTTCTGGTGAATCAATGATGTTTTGGGCTGGTTACTGTGGGCTTACATATACAGTGGTCACAAAAATTATTTGGACACTTAAACCACTGGTTAAATTTAATGACGTTTTCTAGGTTTCTTTAAAACAGAATGATATTTGTTTCAGAGAAAAAGAGTTTTAGCACAAAATTAAACTGATGGTTGATTCTTTGTGTAAAGAAAGTCTGGAGAACAATTCCAGACAGACTGCCAAGGACCTCCCCACCATCTCCCACCACCTATACAGCACTGCACCGGAAACAACTCTTAAAATTGATTCCATCATTTCTCTTCACCAGGAGTCAGAATGAGAGTATCACACAACTCCCTGACTGAAAATAGGTCCTACTCCAGCTGTCCCCTGTGCTGATGCTCATACAAATCTTAATGAATTGTTTTGCTACCACTGTTGCACACGGACCCTCCGGTAAACACCAGCAGCAGACTCACCCAAAGAGAATGGCAGAAAGGCGTCATTTCTGCAGAACTGTCCTTTTTCATCCAGAAAGTTCTCTGGGTTGAACGTGTCTGGATACTTCCAGTGCTGTTTGTCAGTCATGATGGCCTTTAAGTTGACCATGATTGTAGATCCTTGCCATGGGAAAGACAAACAAATACTTAACACATGTTTTAATGTCAATTAAATGTCTTGAACAGTGGAGGTGCACTCAAAGTTTTCATTGAGAAAAGAAACTGATATAAGTAAATATAAATAGCTATGCAATTTGTGAAATATGCAAGACTAAGCTAAAAGTTGTGCAATAACATTTCCCTAAGCCTGGCTAATCTGATAACTCATATTAATTCGTTGCATTGGTATTAATTTCTCTGTTTTGCATTTGTAAGCTTCATCTTGTTTTCAAGCCACAAAAAATGTTATCTTTTTATAGTTTAATTGACTTTGTTTCTTTTTTTGGCAGAGCCTGTTCTCATAACCCTGTTTCTGTGGTTAAGCATCCATTCATATTTCCATTAATTCACACTTCCATTGATTCAGTCTCCCATCCATTAAGAGATCCATACATTCAGCCTGTCATACATTCAAATGTCTATCCATTCAGCCTGTCATGTATTCAGTCCACAATCCCTCTATCCCTTCATCACCTTGGGCAGGTGGTATCCTTGTAGCAGTGCTGGTTGAGTGGTTTGGTGAATCAGGCCAAGAGGAGTGATGATAGCATAGTGCTGGATCTCATAAACAGTGGCGTAAGTGTATGGGAGCTGTGGGCGGTCTTCCATGCAGGGAGAGCAGTCAAAACCCAGTACCCGAACGATCTCCTCATGACAGCGCTCTGACATGGTCACATTACACAAGCATGGAAAAAAAAGGACAAAAAAAAGATGATGTTACAGGACATACAAGACATAACAGTGTTCTAATTGGGTCATTAACCAATTAGTAAAACAAAAATATCAACTGAAAATGTGAAGTAACAAAAGGAATAACAAGCCTTACACCAAACCTAGTGTAAAAATGAAATCAGGTCAATGGTCACCAACAATAGTACCTTGGACGTCAGGGTGGTCCATCATGTAAATGAGGCCCCATCTGAGGGTGGTCGCTGTAGTTTCTGTTCCAGCTATGAACAGGTCGAGGACTGACTTCATCATGTTCTCCACATGGAATGTAGAGTCTTCCTTTGCCTCTTGCTGCTCAACAAAAGAAAAGTTTAAATTCTGTTACTCAGAGCTACCAAAGGATACTGAAGGCAGCTCAAATGATTGATTTAGTATAATCTACAGCAGAAAACTTCAACTCCGCTGTCCCACATTGTCAACCTGAAAATAATGCATGTAGAAAATACTCCACACCAGTCGTCTCAGTGCACAGATAACTAGGCCTACTGGATGAGTTACTGTAAAGTGCAGCTAGAGTCTCTCCATTCTCTACACTGCACTCAAAACAAAGAGCATCTCACCTTGGACATCTGGATCAGGTAAGCATCAGTGAAGTCCTGGAGGTTTACTGGATCCAGAGTCTTCTTGTGCTCCTCCACAATTTCAAGGAGAAATTTTTTTAAGGCTTCGACATTATTCCATATCTTCTGATGCGGCCCTGGAAAGTATTTTATAATTGGGACCAAGTTGAAGATCTGAAGAAAAAAAGGAACAATTGATGTTACATTTCATTCTTTAAGTTTAAGCACTTTAAGTGCGTAATGACAGGATTTTTTATGTCATTGTGTAATTTAATTGTAGGTATATACCAGGAAAAAGACCTGGAATTAATTTAGAAGATAAATTATCATTGCTATATTGTTTTGTGCTCTGGTGGCTTTTCAACATGATTTGTGAAAATGAACGACATCACTTGGATCCTGGTAATTACCTGAGCAGCAGTTGATCCAGCAAACCGAACGTTTTCATTCAGAATTTCAAGCAGGTTAGCAAAGTGATTGTTGTCGTACTCAAAGCGGTCTCCAAAGATGATGGAGCAGATTATGTTGGAAACTGCATTCATAAATTGGTGGATGGGATTAAAAGGCTTCCCTTCAAGAAGAATTGCAGAATAGTGTGTTTGATTAGAGAAAAGGCACAAAGACAGAACAATGACCATATGACATTTTTTGTTAAATGTCATATAAATGAAAAAAGGCCTCTTGTCTTACTATCAGTAAGACATTTAAAACATTCATCAGATTCAGTATTACTGAACTACAGTGTAGTAGTCTGATAGGCATAATTGAGCTCATTAAACATTACCTTGTCCATGTTGATTTGAATAAATATTCATTCAAACTGTCATTAGTCAGTAATTTACTCTAAAACAAACTATTGACTAAAACTACTGAAATAAATACTAATTTCATATGACAGACAACACAATGCATTAATTCTAGTGCTGCTGCCTGCCATTGTAGCTGTACATCAGACAAAGATAACCTGACCACAGAGCTGCTCTAAGAAGGCATAGACAGTATTTCATCTCCTACCTTCTTGTTTGAGCATCTCCTTGATGAGGTAATGCGCCTCCTCAGACACACGCTCCTCCACAGTTTTCTTTCCTAGACCAAAGTCACACAGTGTGTGCAGAGCAAAGCGGTGCTGCTGCCTCCAAGAGTGACCATAATTGGCTCCAATAATACCTGAGAAAGGCAGAGAGAAGGAAATGGAGATAAAAAGAAAGAGATGGTGGGAAAGGGTGTAAAAATGTATAGGAAGGTGGAACTTTCCCTGGAGAATGATTTTTTTTTTTAGTTTTTTTCAAAGCACATGAGTACAAGTGGCAGTAAATGTGTATCATACAAGTATATCAACATGAGTCATGCCGTACTAACCATAGCCTTTGTTGATCCACGCTTGTAAAGGTGGAAGAGGCCTCCCAGAAAACACGGTCCCATTCTGAACAAAAGCTTCCTTTGCAAGCTGCATGTTGTTCAGTATAATCGTTGGCTTCCTGCCCAGGTATATGGAGCACATCTCACCATATTTCGGCAACTAAAGGGGTGGAAAATGTTTACATTACCTACAGCTTTGGAGCGGACAAGTGTATGTATTGATGCAACTCTTTCCACATTTGGTTGCAGATGTGTTATCAGTGAATTCAAGTCTTTTCACAGTTCTTCAGCTTACTCTGTTCTAATAAATCTGAATCAATTCATGACAGTTTTGATTTTTGAGTTCAAATTTATGGCATTTATCAGATCCAGTTATCCATAGCAACTTACAGAAGTGATTTGTTTTTCACTCACAGAATGTTTCCTTAGATGCTATAAAATAGGAGTCCAAAGACACCTTTAAACTAAGGTACTGCTTGGAATGAGATCTGTTACCTAGACAAAGATACATGATACAGAAATAAGGCATTTCCTCTGCAATACAATGTATTTTAAGAAGTTCAAATAGGTCGTCATTTAATGCTGTAAAGTTCCACATGGGTTGCCTGGTGTCACGCATTCCTCAGGCTCTGACGCTCACTCGGACTCCATCTCCCAGAATCCTCAGGGAGATCACATGACTCTTGCAACCTCTGACCTGCCTTCACGCTCCACTCAGCACTCTCACTCTCCTCAATACTAATTCGTTTCACCTGTTACATAGGTCTGCCTTTGGGTATCTCATCGTTTTTTGACCTTTTGGACTGTATTCTGGAAATTGCCCCTTTGCCTCGTCCTTTGGATTATATGCCCATTGTTATGTTTGTGTTCTGGTTGAGTTTTCTGGTTTTGACCCACACCTGCTTTGTGACTACGAGCCTGTTTTACGTTTCTATCAGTAAAGCCTCTCTTGATCATTTTTACCGCTAGCGTCTGACTCATTCTGTGCCGTTCCAGAATACTTCACCTATTATGCAGACGGCGGACCCGGAGTCTTTACAAAAGGCTTTGGTGGAACAAGGACAGTTACTTGGAAGACATCAACAAGTGTTGTCGGGAGTTACACACTCGCTAGAGTCGCTAGTACATCAACAGTCTGAACAGCAAGCTCAACTAGCACAACTCGTATTGAGTGTTAAAGGGCTCACAAATCAGCTTCAGAACATGAGTGTTGCTGAAACAAAGGTAAACACCGCCAGCCCATCTGATCACGCTGAAGCTCTTCATGCTGTGTTCCCCGTGAGTAAAGGAGATCCTGATAAGTGTCGTGGCTTTTTACTCCAATGCGATGTGTTTTTTGAGAACTCCCCAGTAGGTCCTGATAAAGCCAAAATAGCCTTTATTGTGTCTCGTTTTGCTGATAGAGCATTAGAGTGGGCTATGGCTAGCTGGTCTCACGTACATGGCCTCACTTACTCCCAGTTTATTAAGGAGTTTAGAAGGCAAGGTTAGTGGGGAGTTACTTTCTGAAATCCGCCAGGGCAACCGCTCAGTAGTGGAGCATTCACTGGAATTCCACACACTAGCCGCCAGCAGTGGGTGGAATGAAGCTGCATTATTAGTCATGTTTTGGGAAGGGCTTAATATGGACATTTTGAACGAACTAGCCTGTCGAGATGATAATCTGACATTAGATCAGCTCATCACTCTTTCAATCAGACTTGATTATTTACTTCACAACCGCCATAGAACAAAGAATGAATGAACAGCATGAAGGATGATTACCAGAGTGAGAACCACACAAGAACCTGTTGAACACAAGGAAACTGAAGAACCCATGCAATGTGATTCTTCACGCTTATCAGAAGAAGAGAGACTCCGCCGCCTGAGAAATAACTTATGTTTGTACTGTGGGAATGCTGGTCATCACCTCCGTGAATACTCCGAGTATACTCCATGTGCTAATGTGTGTGTTCCCACAAAGGGGTTGGTCGTTTCTTCAAAGTCGTTTCTTTTGCCAGTCAATATATGCCGTCATCCCAATTCTGTTCTCGTTTCAGCTCTCATGGTGCTGAAGGAAATTTTATCCATGCACACCTGGTAGCACAGCTACAACTTCCAGTGGAAACCCTGACCACAGTACTACGGGTGGCAGCATTGGATGGAGGACCTGTCAGTGCAGGAACCATATCCAAGATGACTAAACCCGTACATCTGGAGACCAGCGCTCTCCACCAAGAACTTCTTCCTTTCTTAGTCCTTGAAAATTCTGCATTTGATTTAATTTTAGGACTCCCTTGTCTTGAGAAGCATAACCCCTCGATTTCCTGGTTAAAACATGAAATTGTGAATTTCCCCATTGTGGGACTAATAAAGGACTATCTTACCTTATCTTATCTTATCTTATCTTATCTAAATATTAAAATAGTCAGACTTTTGCTTTAACTCATGCATTACCTGAATCCTGTTTTGCCCAAGTCAAGAGTCTATCCCCTGACCCAAGATGAGGAGAAAGCCCTAGACACATATTCTCAAGAGGCACTTGAACAGGGGTTTATTAGGCCATCAACATCCTCCATAGCTTCCAGCTTTTTCTTCATCAAGAAAAAAAGATGGTGGTTTACGCTCCTGTATAGATTATCGAGCCCTTAATCAAATTACGAAGACACATCCTTATCCTCTTCCGCTAGTGCCAGTAGCATTGGAACAATTAAAAGGGGCCCAATTCTTCACTAAAGTTGACCTTAGAAGTGCATATAACGTGATTCGAATCAGAGAAGGAGATGAATGGAAGACTGCATTTGTGACCACTAGGGGGCACTATGAATACTTAAGTTATGCCTTTCGGTCTCTCTATCGCCCCCTCTGTTTTTCAGGCCTTCATTAATGAGGTACTTAGAGACATGCTAGGTAAATACGTCATAGCCTACCTCGATGATATTCTTGTTTACTCCCCAGATAAGGAAAACCCATGTGAAGCACGTTCGCACTGTTCTACAACGTTTACTCGAGCACAACCTATTCGTCAAGGGTGAGAAGTGTGAGTTTCACCTCCAATCCGTGTCTTTCTTAGGATATGTAATCAGTCCCCAAGGTGTCATAATGGATGATCAAAAGGTAGAAGCAGTAGTCCAGTGGCCCACTCCATCCTCAGTCAAAGAACTTCAAAGATTTCTAGGATTCGCTAATTTCTATTGTAGATTCATCCGGAATTTCAGTAGTCTTGTGGCTCCCCTAACTTCTTTACTAAAAGGAAGTCCCAAGAAGTTAAGTTGGACAGAACAGGCCGAACATGCATTTCAGACCTTGAAGACAGCCTTCACTACTGCCCCAATTTTAAAACATCCTGACCCTTCAGAACCGTTTGTAGTAGAGGTGGACGCTTCAGAGACAGGTGTAGGTGCCGTCCTATCACAACGTTCCGGTTCTCCATCCTGTAGCATTCTTCTCACACAAGTTAACAGCAACCGAAAAGAATTATGGCATTGGAGATCGTGAATTACTAGCTGTTAAATTGGCTTTGGAGGAGTGGTGTCACTGGCTAGAAGGAGCCAATCATCCCTTTGTAGTCATCACTGATCACAAGAACCTAGAATATCTCTGCAATGCTAAAAGACTAAATGCCCGCCAAGCTAGCTCCCATTTCAAATTTAGTATCTCCTATCGTCCAGGTTCTAGGAACACCAAAGCAGATGCTCTTTCTAGATTATACCAAAGCGAGAATCTTGTCTCCAACCAATCCGAACCCGAACGCATTTTACCGCCTGAGGTTCCTATTTTTGCTATACGTTGGGAAATAGATCAGGAAATTGCAAAGGCATTAACCAATGTCACAGTACCAACCTAGTGCCCCCCAGAGAAGACTTATGTTCCAGAATAGTTTTGTACACAACTAATCACCTGAGCCCACTCCTCACTCACCTCTGGTCACCCCGGGGAGATGCGTACACATCAGCTACTGTCCAATCGATACTGATGGGAAACTGCATAAATGACATACACATAGACGTTCACAATGTAAGACCCCCCCAAGACATTACCTGCAGGTAAAATCATCCCCTTAAGCTTTATCAGGCCAGTAGCTGCTAATTATTTATGTCCATTATTATGCATGTATTAACTCCTTAAAAGGCCAGGGCCTGCTAGTGGGCCCAATGCTTTTTTACACTTCTACAACCTAAGAATAGCTCTACCAGTTTGCACTGAAGTCCCTGTAGTTACTGAATAATAAAACTTAGTATGTAATAAGCCTGGGATTTTAAGAGGTTAAGGCTTATAAAGCCAATAGCAAGTAACCTATCAATTAAATAACTGCTAAGTAACTTGCTAATAATTACTAATTAATAACTAATAGTAAAATTACTTTACAAAGCAGTAATAAGGGTGAATAAACATTTTCCAGAGTATTTTCATTTGTCTATTTCACATCAAATCTTGTGCCCATATCAGTACCTAAGTAACAAATCATAAAGACATCATCTTGAATGTTTATTTTTCATTTTAATTGTCAAAAATTATCTTTGTTTCAAATCAAAATTATAAAATGTTCAGTACTTTATTTGCCACTTAATGGAAGAAAATCTCAGATTGTTAATGTGGTCTGGGACTTTTACATTTACCCCTGGTTGGTCCTGGTTTAAAGAAAGAGCTTGACAGCATGCTCTTATTGTGATAGATTAGATGTGTTAAAGAAGAGGGAGTTCTCCTGGGGTGATGCTGTCCATTCACACGCAAAACCAAACTTGATTCAGTGAGTGTTCTCTCTGCTGTGGCAGATGGTATTGAAGGGGTAGGGAGAACGAACCACGCCAATAGTGCCATCCATGTTTGGGCGTGGAGCTCCAGGAGGCCAGGAAAACTTCAGCCGCTGGATCAGAGAGGTGAAGAAGATGAAGAGCTCCATCTTCAGGATCAGGAGACTTTCTGGTGGACCAGTGATGATTTGCTGCAGAATACGAGGGTAATTATATGGTAATATCATGGTAACAAGTTGTTAATAAAATGACAAATAATGATTATAACAAGTTTTTAGCCAACTAACTTAAAAATGCTTAAGCTACTTTTCTAGTTGCTAAGAATAATTAATAATACATTAAGACACAAAGATAAACATGTTGTATAAAGATATATTTGGTGCGGTTTGAGTTTTTGCCAGTTTGATTTATAATAGAGTAACAGGATTTTGTGAACAGGTAACACAAAAGGAACATTTGATGTATTTTCCAGCTCTGATTTTGTGTGATCTCATTACATTTACCTCTTTTGTTCCTGAGTAAATACACCTGTCTGCTTGTAAATGTAATAGAACAATCACAGGTGATTATAAAAAAGCAGGCTAGAAAGTGAATCAGCAGGTCTTAGAATGGTGTTTTTAAAAGAAATGCCATTTGGTTTGACATTTTGTTCTCTAAGTCAATAAACAACAATGCATAAATTAACTGTAAACAGTGCAAGTCTATTTTTGTAGTAATTCAGTACAACTCTGGTTTGTAATTCAGCAGTTGATAAGTCTTCGAGAGTGAGTCATATTTAAACTGGTTCTATGACTCTGGAGCTTGTTCACACAGCATGCAGTGACCTACAGTGTGCAATGCATACCGGAACTTAGTTAGCTAGTGTTTATAGCTTCATGGCAATGTTTTTCACTCTCAAGTCTTTGTGTGGAATCAACTGTTAAAACCGATTCCATAATTTCCCTTCACTTCCCTTTGGAATTACAGCAGACTCCAGAATCAAACAGTTCTTCAATTTAACGTTTTTTTTTGGTGTTGGATGGTCTACATCACATAACTCCTGGTCTAAAAAAAACATACTCCGACTGTCCCCAGTGCTGAGGCTCATAAAAATCTTTTTCAGCTAGCTTTCTCTGCTTTGCAGACTCACCCAGAGAGAACAGCACAAAGGAGTCATTTTTGCAGAGCTGCCCTTTCTCATCCAGAAAGTTGTCCGGGTTGAACGTGTCTGGATACTTCCAGTCCTCTTTGTCAGTGAAGATGGCCATTAAGTTGAGAACAATCTCAGTTCCCTGCCATAGGAAAGAGAAATAAATAAATAACACATGCATTACTGTCAATTAAATGTCGTGATCAGTGGAAGTGGATTCAGTTTTCATTTTTGTATTTTTAATCAGGCTAAAAAAGAAAATAGACTGCTATACAATTTGTTAAATTTGTGAGGCAACAACACAATAAATGTTGTCATTTCATTAAGGCTGGCCCGAAATAAGCTTAACACTCAAGTATTCGTTTGTTACATTGGTATTCATTTCTATATTTTGCCTTTATGAACAAATCTTATTTATTTATAGTTTAAATTATTTATACTTTGGGTCAAGCCTGTTCTGGTAACTCTGTTTCTGTTATTACACATGCATTCACATTTCTACGAAATTCATATTTTCATTAACTCATCCTTTACATACATTTCATACATTCATACATCCATCCATTCCACCTGCCATTTATTTAATCTACAATTTATCCATCATTACCACAGGCAGGTGGTATCCTCGTAGCAGTGCTGGTTCAGTGGTTTGGTGAATCACGCCAAGAGGAGTGATGCTAGCGCAGCGCTGGATCTCATAAACAGTGGCGCAAGTGTACGGGAGCCGTGAACGGTCATCCATGCAGGGAGAGGGGTCAAAACCCAGCACTCAAATGATCTCTTCATGACAGCGCTCTGATGTGGTCAGCAAGGTGTTGTCACGGTTTCCCCTTGTTCCTGTGTCTGTTACTTGCTCTGTTTTATAGCCATGTGCTTTCTGCCATGTGCTTATGTTTTTGTTTTGATTCTTGTGCTCTGCCCTTTCCCCACCTTCCCTATTAGTATCCTCACCTGTCTGTAGTCTCTGTCTCCTCCCTCTCCGAGGTGTTCCCCATTTGTTGTAGCCTATATCTAGCCCTTTGTTTCAGTCAGTGTTTGACTGGTCTACTCATCTCTTTGTCTGATGTAGTGGTTCCTTCCCTTCCTCGTGTTTTGTTTGCTCTTTGTGTTCCTTTGTTTAAGCCTTGTAGTTAGTTACTTTGTATTTTGCTAGTTTGTTTTGGTTATTAAAGTCTGCTCGCACTTATATCCATTCTCCCTGCTCATTCCATATATGACAGGTGTAAGCACTGGAAAAAACAGAGGGCACAAAAATTAGATGAAGTTACAGGACATACAGCAACAACGACAGTGTTTTAATTGGGTCATTAATCAAGTATTAATACAAAATGATCAACTGAAAGGATAAAGTAGGACAAAAGGAATATTGTTCTTAAAACCACAACTGGTGAACAAATGAAATCAGGTCAATGGTATTGGTCACCCAGAGCAGTACCTTGAACATCGGGGTGATCCATTATGTAAATGACCCCCCATCTGAGAGTGGTCACTGTAGTTTCCGTTCCAGCAAAGAACAGGTCAGTGGTTGACATCATGTTCTCCACATGGAACGTAGAATCTTGAATTTTGACTCTTGCTGCTAAAAACAAGGAAACATTAAATTTTGTTACACTATAGCTACAAAAGAATAATGGAAGCTGCTCAAATGATTGATTTAGTATAGTGTACAGTAAAAAACTTCAACTATACCATTCCCACATTGTCAACTTGAAAACAATCCATGTAGAAAATAATCAACACATCTTCTGATGAGTTGAAATGAGGGATGAGTTAAAATCGGTGTGCTGGAGAACTGTAGAGTGTGCAGCACCTAGGGTCTCTCCATTCTCTACACTGCTTTCAAGACAAAGGGCATCTCACCTTGGTCATCTGGATCAGGTAGGTGTCAGTGAAGTCCCGTGGGTTGTCTGGATCCAGAGTCTTCTTGTGCTCCTCCACAATTTCGAAGATAAATTTTTTTAAGGCTTGGACATTATGCCACATCTTCTGATGCGGCCCTGGAAAATATTTTATAATCGGGACCAAGTTGAAGATCTGAAGGGAAAAAAAGGAGAAAGAATTTTTATGTTACATTTTATCATTTAAGTTTGCAGTTTGTTTAAACATAAGCACTTCAAGCACATCATGACATGGATTTTTTTGTCAGTGTGTAATTTCATTGTAAGCATATACCTGGAAAACAGGAAAAACACTTGGAATTAATTTAGAAGATGAATTATAGTGTTTTGTGCTCTGGTGCTTTTTGTACCTGATCTGTGAAAATGAATGACATCACCTGGAAAGCTCCTGGAAATTACCTAAGTCACAGATGATCCAGCAAACAAAGTTTTCATGCAGAATTTCTAGCAGCTTAGCAAAGCGCTTGTCGTCGTACTCAAAGCGGTCTCCAAAGATGATGGAGCAGATTATGTTGGCAACTGCATTCATAAAATGGTGGATGGGATAAAAAGGCTTCCCTTCAAGAAGAATTGCAGATTAATGAGTTTGTTGAGAGACAAAAGACTGACAATATGAACATTTAGTTGAATGTCATCAAAATCAAACACTTTGTGATCAATATTTTATTAACAAGTCAACGCAAAAAAAACAAAAAAAACAAAAAAAAACACGAGAACTATGTTCAAAAAGCCCAGGACATGCCCATAGAGCTTCCCACAACAAACATAGTACAGAGTCAACAATCATCGCTAGACATCAAAGTAGCAACACCGACGACGACAGCAGTGATGGTCAGTGGCAGAACCACACAAGAAGGAAAGACATACACACCAAAGCAAAAGACATATAAACAAATGAATACCTAAATAGATAAATGAATAAACTCAGTATACTGAAGTTTACACCCTCATATCAGTTAGAAAAGGTTGCTATGCTCTCATTGCTTTTAACAACTCTTTCTCAGTGTTTGACCAGGACACAACTGTTCTTATTTTGGCCTTATCTATCCTGGCTGTTGTACATTCCAAAAGAGCGATGTCCCGAAAATAAGTAACCCAAACAAGATGCACAGGAACGGAGGGTTCAAACCATATTTTCTGTATTGTCTTTTTGGCTGCTGTGAGGCTGGCCAGAAAAATCCTTTTTTGATGAGTAGAAAACAATTCTGCAGAGTCATCAAGTAGGAGGAAAGTCCAGGGATCTTTGTGCACAGATTTTCCCAAAATATTAGAAAGTATTTTGAACATATGAAAGACATCCACGATAGGACATGCCCAAAACATATGCATATATGTACCGACTATTGCTGAGTTACACAAAGGACAATAAGGATCTTGTCTAACTTTAAACTTATACAGCAGATTAGGAGAACAGACTTGTCATTTTATTCATGAGATTTAGTATTACTGAACTACAGTGTAGTGGTCTGATGGGCAAAACTGAGCTCAATAAACATTAGCTTATCAATGTTGATTTGAACAAATATTCATTAAACTGTCATTAGTCAGTAATTTACTCTGAAACAACTATTGACTATGAAATAAATACTAATTTCAAATGACAGACAACACAATGCATTAATTCTAGTGCTGCTGCCTGCCATTGTAGTTGTACATCAGACAAAGATAACCTGACCACAGAACTGCTCTAAGAAGGCATCTACAGCTCTTCATCTCCTACCTTCTTGTTTGAGCATCTCCTTGATGAGGTAATGTGCCTCCTCAGCCACGCGCTCCTCCACAGTTTTCTTTCCTAGACCAAAGTCACGCAGTGTGTGCAGAGCAAAGCGGCACTGCTGTCTCCAAGAGTGACCATGATTGGTCATGACGATACCTGTGATGGGCAGAGAGAAGCAAAGTGAGATAAAAAGGCAAATTAATCTTATATTTTTCCATTTTTTTTCAAAAAGCAAAGTACAAGTAGCAGTAAAAGTACACCAAACTAGTTAATGAGCCATGTGAGACTAACCATAGCCTTTGTTGAGCCGCTGTGTTAAAGGCTGAAACAGTCTCCCAGAAAACACAGTCCCATTCTGAACAAAGTCAGAGATGATAGCTCATCTGCAGCTGCACAGTTTGTGTTGGTCATCCTCTAGTCCTTCATCAGTGGTCACAGGACGCTGTTGGCTGGATGTTTTTGGTTGGTGGACTATTCTCAGTCCAGCAGTGACACTGAGGTGTTTAAAAACTCCAGCAGCCCTGCTGTGTCTGATCAGTGTTACTCAGTGTTACTGCAGTGCTGAGAATGATCCGCCGCCCAAATAGTCCATGGGGGTCCTGACCACTGAAGAACAGGGTAAAAAGGGGTTAACAAAGTATGCAGAGAAACAGATGGACTACAGTCTGTAATTGTCGAACTACAAAGTGCACCTATATATAATAAGTGGAGCTGATAAAATGGACAATGACCGTAGAAACAAGGAGGTGGTCAGAGTGTTATGCCTGATCGGTGTATATAGGCAAAATCTTGAACTGGTGCAGAACATTTATATTGTGTGGAGATTCTTTAAACATTTAAATGTTGTTCCCATTTCATCCACTGAAAGGTTCTTTATCAAGTCTTTGCATCGCTTCAAAGCATTCTCTTCGCACCTTTGTTTTTAAAAAATGTATATACTCTCCTTGAGATTTGATACACGCTTTCTCAGTTAAATGAGAATTGCACCAATTTTTACAAAGTCATTCCGAGTGGTGTTGGGTACTTCAACACAGCATAACTCAGATTAAAATTTAGAAATGTATGAAATCATCTATTCAGAATTTATGTGATGTAATTTATGTAAACTTCAAAAATAATCCTAAGACTTTTAACAGAGATGGGGCAGAGGAGAGCTGAAAGTGACCAAAAAAACTTGACACAAATAAGAAGCAGTTTCAGTCAGTCTTAATATTAGGTGTTTACAGATGGACTTAAAACCAGTGATTTTCAGAAATTACCAATCTTCATTGTCAAAAAAACTAAAAATGCCATGAAGCTGTGAAGATAAACTGTGCAGGCAAATCCAGGCAAAAGTCTGGTTTGAGTTCAACACTCAAAACTTACAAACACCATCTAACAATGTATCACTATTTATTAGCCAATTTTATTACCATTAATTAATAGATTCCTCCAATAGAACCAATAAAATGGTTTAGGTTCTCCTATATACAAGGTTATTAGATGTAAATGCTAAACACAGAGTTCTAAACAAATTGCTAGCAGGTACCTTTAACTGATCTCAGTCCAGTTTCATGTACCTAATGCTTATTTTTGTTCACCTGGATTTAAATACTCAAGGCTGGTGCAGTTTAAACTGCTTCTGAATCAGACTGAAAGCACAACTGCACCCTCCAGTGGAGGACTGTGGAAATGTTACACTGACTTGATTCCAGGTGAGGTTAAGATAATGTACGAAGTTCTCAAAGTTTATGCAGCCAGGGACGCCTTCCGGTGTGGAAATAAATTCATGGACCCCCACAGATTTATTCTATTAATAAATAATCTAAATAATCCAGCAAAAACAATACAATATACACAGTGCAGACAATACAGTGCATTAAATACAAAAGACTTACAATAAATATAAAACAGATCACAGACATTAGACAGTACTGAGAATATGTGGAGTTGTGCAAAGCAGGCTGCAACATACTATGACATATTAGCAGCTAGCTTAGCATCTGTGAGCATAGCAGTCACTGAGGTAGCAACCAAAACAACAGTAACAGAATACAGTATTTGTTTCACTAGATATATGAATAATATTAAGTAAAGTATTTCAGTGTGAAATGCAATCATTATTTTTAATTATAGTAAGAGAGTAAAAGAGAAACGATCCAATTGCAGATTGCAGTGTTCAGGCCCAGCAGGCTGAGCTTTCCAATCAGATGCTGAGGAATGATGGTATTGAATCTTGAACAGCATCCTGACATAAGTGTCTTTTTGTCTCAAGATGAGTGAGGGCCAGATGAAGAGTGGTGGCTGCGGTATCATCTGTAGAGCAGTTGGGGCGATACAGCAAGCTGCAGAGGGTCCAGCGAAGGAGGCAGCTGGGTCTTGATGTGTCTCATTATGAGCCTCTTGAAGCACTTCATGATGATGGGCTGTGAGTGCGATGGGATGTTAGGCATTGAGGCAAGACACTGAAGATTTCTTCGGCACAGGGACAACGGTGGTGAAGATCATCCACTAGCTGGTCTCCACATTCTCTTAGCACTCGGCCAGGAATGTGGTCTGGTCCAGCAGCCGTCCGTAGGTTGACTCTGTGCAGAGTCTTTTTTCACGTCAGCTGCGGTCAGACACAGTACCTGGTTATTGGATGGAGAGGTGGTTCATCTCGCCTCCACATTGTTCTGCGTGTCTAACCTTGCAAAGAAGTCATTCAGTGCACCTGGGATAGAGGCATCACTGTCACAGGAGGGCAATGTTTTCCTGTAATTGCTGAGGGCCTGAATGTCCTGCCACATTGCGTGTTGCTGGTATTTTTGAAAGTGTCTTTGAATTTTCTGAGTATGTGCTCACTTTGTCTCTCTGACAGCTCATGACAGTTTGGCCCTCTCTGTTCTAAGGGCTGCTTTGTCACCCCCTCTAAAGACTGAGTCATGGGCATTCAGCAGCGTGTGCTCCTCAGCAGTCATCCACGGCTTCTGAGTTTAGCGTATATTCTGTATATTCTTTAAAGTGAACAGAGTCATTGTAAGTGCCAGCCTTTCTAAACACATCCCATGCAGTTTGCTCAAAGCAGTCTTGAAGAGAAGAGATGGACAAGTTTTCACCTGCTTCTGGACTGGTTAGGACCATCTGATGTGTGGTCTGTATGCAGGGATCAGACCGCTGCTATGAACATGGAGGGGTATTGCAGCAACGAACAAAAAAGGTCTACATCTGACAATCACACCAAAGTACTCCACCAGCAGAGAACAGTGCTTTGCACCAAACAAAGAGTTCTTCCACCATTCCGTGTTGATGTAAACACACATGTTTTTCCCATCAGAGCTGCACTTCTGTTGGCACGAAACAAAGCCAGCCAGTCCAGCTGAATGGCGGCACTGGGAATGCTGTCGCTTAGGCATGTTTCAGTTAGAAACAGTCCCTGAGCTCTCGCTGGGTTGTCCACGGGAGTCTGATGTAGTCCAGTTTATTGCCCAGTGAGCTGACACTGA